AGATAGCAAGAAAACCATGGGTTACACAGGAGATGATGAGTAAAATGGAGGAGCGAAGGAAATGGAAGAATGTAAACAATGAAGAAGGCAGGAGGAAATACAGGAGACTGAGGAATGAATTGAAAAGAGCCACGGACAGGGCCAGAAAGGAATATCTTGAGAAGATATGTAATGAGATTATAGAATTTCAAAGAACAGGACGTTATGATTTGATGTACATGAAGACAAAAGAACTAGGATGGAAAGAGAATCATTTCATTATTTGAAGAACCCTTTTTTGCAAAATAAGAATTTTTTTACTTTCACTTCCCCCCCCCAAAAAAAAAATATCAAACCATAACTTATTTGAGATTGAAATTTAGCAAAGTACACATTCCTAAGGACATATGGGCTTACTTCGCCTTTCAAAGCTTTAATAACGTAACACACCTTATTGAGCTTTGTACAGACTGACCAAATATGAATGTTCCATTTTAATTTGTGGGTTAAATTAATACCAAGAAACCTAAACTGTGCTGTGTAATTAATTATTGTATTTTTAAAGGTAATTACTGGCTCAATGCTATCGTGTAGTTTATTCATATGGAAATACATTGCTGTAGTCTTCTCATTATTTATTACCATATTATTCATTGAAAACCAAGATTCGAGTTGCTTCATTGCCTTATCTATTTTGTCTTGAAGAATATTTTTGTTCTTTTCTATTACTAGTATACTGGTATCATCTGCAAATAGCACCACTTCGCTGTTAGTTATATGGAGGGGTAGGTCATTTATGTAAACCAAAACAAAAACGGGCCCAAGATCGCATCTCACATTGCTAATTTCAAACCCAGTAATTCTGAACAATAATCTTTGTTTGATCTGTATTTTATTGCAACTTGGATAGCCTGGAATTCACTTGCATAGGTACGAGAGTGCGAGAGTTTATCCAGCAGTCTATCACGTCACCAGTGGCAGCCCCCCTTCGCATCCCACCTGGGTTGTCCTCACTTCAAACTGAATTGACAGCCATTACAGGGCAGTTTCTCCGTCTCGTTTCCCACAATCGGGCTGTCTTTGGTGAATACTACACCAACATTATTGCAGAAGGAGTTTCAACAACACCTCCTCTAACTGAGTGAACAGTAATCGCTGGCTGTCTGGCTTAATGTAAGGTAAGAAAGTCAAAGCAAAGAAACTTGTTTGCTGTAAATGTGTGATAAATTGAAGATCTTAAGTAGTAGTCAAGGCTTTAATTTCACCCAGGGCCTAAATGATGTTGGAATCTTAACAGTCAGGAGGTATTACTGTGGAATTCTAATACAGTGAACCCTCATTATAACAAACCTGGATGTAATGGATTTCAGATGTAACAAACAAAATCTGACTGTATACAATTGTGAATTTTAGAGATGTTGAGGGACTAAAAAGGTTTTGTAGTTAAAAAAACTGTTTAAAATCCTCCACACATTCTTAACCTCTAGCTCTGAGGTGTCATGCCCTGGCTGTTTAATGTTTGGGGAAAGAGATTCCAGTACATGTTGGGTAAGAGGCAGGATGAGCCCCAGAACTGGCCTGGATGCTGTGGAGAAGAGAAAAATCTCTTTCACTTACCTTGAATCAAATGCTAGTTCCTCAACCATCTACCTTATAACCTAATTTCTGAGCTAGCTGAATGGATATTATTTTTTACTGTTTTCATTTCTTTTTCATAGATCCTCCAATGGGCACAACAGCTGTACAGTGAGAGGGAGGGCTCAGCTCTGCAGGATAAAACTACAATGAGATAATCCTATTTTAGGATGGCTCCCACTGAAATCCTCATGTACAGACAAGAAGCCAGTAATAGGGTAGGAATCAGTAGTATCCTATGAAAGAATCCTTGTCATTAGTTTATGTCCTAGAATTGGAACTACTTTAAATACTGTACCTTCCATAATAAAAATCTTACAGTCTAATGATATTTTAGATATAATATAGACATTTCTCATGAGCATTCAGATTTGGAGATGAATTATCACTACTACTGATCAGAAGACTTTCTCTTAGATTGTGCAAAATTATATCATTAAATATGTTGTAAAGGAACACATACCAATTGTGTTAAACAAAAGCTTTACTTATCTATTCATTGCTTGTAAAAATGAAACATTACAAGCTTTTGGGCAAAACTGTAAATATGATACCTAATTTCTAAAATGGAAACAGACTGTTATATGAGAAGAACACATATAACATAACATAATGTAACATATGAACATTGTCTGAAAGTTTATCTTCCCACATAATGTTCTGTAGAGATTCTACTAACATTGTCAGCATTTATTATGTTAGGCAAGAGAAGTATTTATTACTTGGATCAGTCAGAGGTTTAATGTTGTTGGCTTGGTGAAAGCAAATGCAGCATTCAACTCACATTTGGTTTACTAGACTAGTCATTGATTGAATTAGGATACCAAATTACAAACAGCACATTTGTGGCGAAGGTTGGTTGGTTTTACAACCATGCATGCTTGTCATCTGATTGCTGTGAGGTAGTGCAGGGGCCTTTTCTGGCAGATCGCCTAAATCCCTGTTATGACCCATTTCTTGTTCAGTATCCAGCTATTCAGGAGGTATACTTCACGGTTATCTAGGTTGTAGGATACTGAATCAGGAGGTTTATAGGAATTAGGCAGTGATTGGATTAATGAGGTTGTAGTTTGATACAGCAACTGGTTATTTGCCTCAGATGTATTTTCTTAACTATGAATGAGAACTTCCTTAATGACTTAACGAGTTCCCTTGTCGACAGACACTTTCCATACGTTGGACACATTTAGTGATGATACACTAATTCCCCACACCAGTTTCCTCTAATTGGATCTCCCAGTGTTTACACAGTTTATACTTAATCATTTTGTGGTCACTGAGCATCCACTCTTGGGCTAATACTATGGCATAATGTCTAGAAGCCAGAATAACGGAACCAGGAGAAAAGGCTGTTGGTAAAAAATTTCCAATAAACACGTTCCCGCAGTAACAGGTACATCACTCGTTGCTAGGTAGTGGCACAGCAAACAGGCTTCCATGTCATCAAATAATTGGGGAATTACTAGGTAATGAATGAACACCAGTAATAGATGAACTATTGGAAGTGTTATTTTCTACTCAGTCCACACAGAGGCTGTGTATTGAGAAACAGTGGAATGAGTCAGCAGTTGGTGAGTATGTATAGTTCGTGAGCTGTAAGTGGGCAGTGACAGTTTATGGTTGGCTGTGGAGAACCTCCATGGTTAGGAGCCATAACCCAGCAGCGCATAGTGAAGACAGTAAACAAGCAATGACTAGTGAAAACATGACATATTGAGACTTAGCTTGTGCTGTAGTGATTTACACTGGGTGAAAATTAGTGGGAGTGCTGTAATTATCTGTAGTTACAGGTTTTAAGTGTTCAGTAAATCCATTTACCAATCCAAACTCTGTGTCCAGTCACTAACACCTGACAGTATTATTTGCAAACCAGTACTTAATTACTAGGGACCAGATTTTTATCCCTTAATAACCCCTTAAATATGTATGCATTTATGTAAGAAAAACTTAAAAAATGTGCACATAAAAAATTCATACCAAGTATTAAAATTTATTTTACACTATTTTGAGACCAACAAATCAACATTTAAGTTAATTTTATGTAATCACTGATTCACTTGCAGTGAAAAACTGTACTTAAATACAAATCATGCAACAAAGCCAACATTTTTCATTACAAGTTAAAAAAACAATGGTACTCTCATTTAGCTCTCCAGGCTTTCAGCTTCTCTTCTGTTGCAGTTTGCAGTTACTAAATGTTCTAGGTTTTCCATAATTAGTCTCCTCCTATTGTTTTGTAAGATGTCCTTGTAGTGGGGAAAACTTCTTTCCACCACACAGGAACTTAAGGACGCGTGAACCAAAAAAAAGCTGGTATTTGCTCCACTGTTAGGCTAGGAACACACACAGCGACATCGGTCGTACAACGTCTGTACGGTTCATGTCGCATCAAGTAGTAGAATATAAAGTGTAGTCTTAGCTTTCATACATGACGACATGCGACATCTACCATATGACAGTCACAGAGCAAAGAAATGTATTTGGTCACTCTAGTGTGAAAAGGAGGTCATATGGAAAAAAAATCATACAACATTTTTCCGTACGACTGATGTTGCTGTGTGTGTTCCTAGCCTTAGTGATTTTTACTTGGCAGGTACGTATGTGTACCAGCTAAAATTTCTTCAATTTCACAAATTTGTTCATATCCTGGGTTTTTTTTAGGAATGCTGTGTACTTTTTCCTTTACTACTTCAACTCTTCCAGGAACTAAATTCAATTTGGAAACAGTGGTTTTGAATACACTTAACAATTGATACAAAGTAGTATTGCTATTGCTTGCCACCAGTGAGGAAATGGCAAATGGAAGATGAGAGAAGTGAGCAGATATATAGGAAAGATTAGTTTCTAGTTCTGCATTTTTGAGTACATCTTGGGCAATTTGAATTGAAGCTGAACTTTTTGGATCAAATGTATTCACAACATTTCCAACTGTTTCTGACTGTTCGGTGTAATAACTCACTGCACACAGCCATGTGCCTCAGCACTTTAAAATTGGTTCTGGCAGAAGTGGAATTTCAGTGCTACTGCTTTAATGATAAAACATTTTAAAAATAAAATATGCAGCATCAATAGAGATCTTTGAAAATATTATGCTTATTCATAAAAGAAGTAAAATATGCATTTTTGTGCACCATCAAACCGTGTCTAAAATGTAAGGAATGAAGTAATTCATACATATATCCAATCCATATATGTTATAGTAATAACATACGTGAGCACTAAGTGGTAGTAAAATATTATCACAATATAGGGGTAGCTATAGACAGGGTATGGTTTGGATTTTGGATTTATTGACCACGTTAACACACAACACACAGATAACTGACACATACAGACTGGTGTCCTGATTGTTTAACAGTCTCACTGAATTAAATGCTCCAAAAATTACGCATAAAGTCTTCTCTTCACAGCCTTCCGTACAGAACTCTTCTCAACTGCCAGCTCTCAACTCACTCACTCACCCACCAACCAACTACTTCACTCAACTGAACTGCACTCAGCCAGCCTGGGATCCTTGCTATAGAGCCTCAGGTAGGATCCAACATAAAAAACATTGTTCTTCTATTGTTCCGGGCATGTTCACTTCCATGGGAACGTGTTTACCGAGCTGTTTCTTAGAAATGGGTTGCATAAGCCTGTTGTTCTATTGTTCCGGGCATGTTCACTTCCATGGGAACGTGTTTACCGAGCTGTTTCTTAGAAATGGGTTGCATAAGCCTGTTGTTCTATTGTTCCGGGCATGTTCACTTCCATGGGAACGTGTTTACCGAGCTGTTTCTTAGAAATGGGTTGCATAAGCCTGTTGTTCTATTGTTCCGGGCATGTTCACTTCCATGGGAACGTGTTTACCGAGCTGTTTCTTAGAAATGGGTTGCATAAGCCTGTTGTTCTATTGTTCCGGGCATGTTCACTTCCATGGGAACGTGTTTACCGAGCTGTTTCTTAGAAATGGGTTGCATAAGCCTGTTGTTCTATTGTTCCGGGCATGTTCACTTCCATGGGAACGTGTTTACCGAGCTGTTTCTTAGAAATGGGTTGCATAAGCCTGTTGTTCTATTGTTCCGGGCATGTTCACTTCCATGGGAACGTGTTTACCGAGCTGTTTCTTAGAAATGGGTTGCATAAGCCTGTTGTTCTATTGTTCCGGGCATGTTCACTTCCATGGGAACGTGTTTACCGAGCTGTTTCTTAGAAATGGGTTGCATAAGCCTGTTGTTCTATTGTTCCGGGCATGTTCACTTCCATGGGAACGTGTTTACCGAGCTGTTTCTTAGAAATGGGTTGCATAAGCCTGTTGTTCTATTGTTCCGGGCATGTTCACTTCCATGGGAACGTGTTTACCGAGCTGTTTCTTAGAAATGGGTTGCATAAGCCTGTTGTTCTATTGTTCCGGGCATGTTCACTTCCATGGGAACGTGTTTACCGAGCTGTTTCTTAGAAATGGGTTGCATAAGCCTGTTGTTCTATTGTTCCGGGCATGTTCACTTCCATGGGAACGTGTTTACCGAGCTGTTTCTTAGAAATGGGTTGCATAAGCCTGTTGTTCTATTGTTGTAGCCATTACCTAGTAATGGCTGCTGTTTATAGAGTCACTGCTTAGCAAGGAGTCTATACACTGCAATATGTTTGCATAATTTAGATGTACGTGGGGCAATCCAAAAGTTTCCGAAATTTGAATTTTGCGCGCGAATGGTTATGAGTACATCGAAATACTGCTGGATGTCTCCTCACACATCCCTCTTGAATCAGTGTGGCAAGCAACGTTGAGTTGAGTGGTTGGGTTTATTGTTGGTGAACGTATTTCCATTGTTGTGTTTCCTTGAGTTTGTGGTTTTGTGATGGTTGACCTGAGAGAGCAGCATGTCCGTATAAAGTTTTGTTTCAAACTTGGGAAAACCGCTGCAGAAACGCACCAAATGTTGAAGCAAGCTTTTGGTGAAAACAGTTTAGGCCAGACACAAACTTACAACTGGTATAAGCGTTTTAAAAATGGCCGAACATTGACTGATGACAATCGTTCGGGACGGCCGACAGTGGGCAAAACACCAGAAAATGTCACGAAAGTTAGGGATCTGATTCTGCAAGATCGTAGACTGACCATCCAAGACCTCTGTAACATCTTGAGGCTAAGTTATGGTACATGTCGACGAATTTTGTCAGAGGAACTGAACATGAGGAGGATTGCGGCAAAGTTTGTGCCATGACTGCTGCAAAATGAACAGAAGCAGCATCGCTTGGAAGTCTGCAGGGAACTTCAGCAACAGCTTCAAGAGGATCCAAACTTTCTTTCGAAGGTCCATGTTGATCTGTTTTTTTTTATATTGACAGGATTGTTCATAAGGAGTTCGTCCCTCCTGGTCAGACAGTCAATAAAGAGTTGTATCACGATGTTTTAAGGCGTTTGAGGGAGGACATGAGGAGAAAACGTCCAGAGAAGTGGCGCACGAATGACTGGGTACTCCACCATGACAACGCACGACCGCATACAGCTTACATTGTGCAGGAATTTTGGCTAAAAACAAGATGGCAGTTGTTCCCCACCCAACGTACTCACCAGACTTAGCTCCATGCGACTTCTTTCTCTTCCCCAAGATGAAAATCAAGTTGAAGGGGCGAAGATTTGATACAGTTGAGGAAATTCAAGCAGAAACGCAGACGGTACTAAACACCCTAACAAAGAAAGACTTCCAGGATGCATTTGAAAAGTGGCAGAAATGCTGGGATTGGTGTATGCGCTCCCAAGGGGACTACTTTGACGGTGATGGTGCAGAATAAGATCTAGGTAAGATGTAATAGTTTTTATTAATATATTTCAGGAACTTTTGGATTGCACCACGTATTATTGTATACAGATTATGTTGTGAAATGTTGATTAATCTGTGTATAGAGCCCAAGGCCTTATGGCTAGCTTACACTGTTTCTTAGCATAAACAGAGTCAGATGATGGGTTTTAGAAGATGATTTACTGTGGGAATTAATCACAGTCAGAAGATACTCCATGGAAGTTCAGATTATTTCTATATTCTATTTTTAAACACAGTCCACTTAATCATGTATCATGTATCCTGATAATGTTAATAAGAAATAATCCATACATCATTTTTATATACAGTAAAGTATAAGATATCAGATATTATTGTCTTACTTACATTTTTGCATAATTTCTAAAGTGTCTCCAAACATGCTATGGATTAATTGTGATGCCAAATTGTATTTAATTTACAATGTATTAGATTAATTTCTTTTGAATGTAAGAGATTTTATTGTTGTTTCTGTTTAAATAACAATAAAGAAATCATACTTGCACAAACAATTATTTTAATAAAATTCCTTTCTCACAATGTGAGATTTGAGGTTCTAATGGCAGTGACTGTGAAGACTATTACTAGTATCTAACTTAATTTTGCTTGCTGCATTTTCTGCTCCTCTAAAATATTGTTCAGCTCCTACCAGACTACATGGCATCACATCGCAGAAGGTAGTATTCTTCATAACCATATTACTTTTCGCAGTAGGAATGTCTTACAATGCCATATGTACTGTGTCTGCCTGTCCACTAACAGACTGAAGCCTTTTCAGGTAATTGTCATCATCATCATCAGCAGCAGCGTTTGGGCCTTCATATCTGTTTTATTTCATTAAATAGATGTATGACAAAATTATAATTTCACCATTAACAGATTTTGTAAATCCCTATATACAAGAAATCCTTCCATACCCAGTGTGGAGGAAGGTTCAAGTACCTCCACTGTAGCCCTGAGAGTCCTAGGAAGTGACAAAAGGAAACCCGGTGCCTGGGGGTATAACCGGGCCACCCTATTTCTTGGGGATATAAATACATTGACCTAACCTTCCAGGTTGGGGGAGTCTCAAACCTGAGACAGTAAAATGTGGTTATGGGAATGACTGCACTGACAAGTGCCAGCAACAATTGTAAATGGCAGACCCATCCTTTCATCAGAGGGGATGTTGCATAAGGATTGTGACCGCAAGTGTTCAGTTGAAAAAAAAATTACCAGTCGTGAGTCTCAAGGGGCTTGTTGTCAAGGCGAACTGGTTGGCAGTAAACCACCAGTTGTATCCTTCCTTTGGCTCTTACCTTAATGTCGTGAGGAGGTTTGTATTTGTCACCTGTAGACCTGTGTTAGCAGGGTCATAAGCTCCTGGTAGGTTCACTCATAGTAAAAACATCAAAGTACAGAGGCAAGGGCTAATATGAGGCTAACAAATTCTCCTTGGAAAACAGGATAAGAGGTAAAGTTGTCCCTGTGCTTAACTAATTAAGCATTACACCATGAAGGCATATGGGGGAGTGGATGTATAGATCCACATTTTCTTGATCTTAGCACTAGTTGCAGGTTTGTGGTTAGCTTCACG